AGTTTACAATAGTAGCAAAAGAGCAGTTATTTAGATCTATATATTAGAGCTAAGGGGGCGAGCACGCAACGCTAAAAGAGAATTTCTCTAATTAGAAGACGTTTAGATAGGTCCTAGAGAACAGGTAGCAATAGTCTATACTAAAAGACTAGTTTAGTATTAGTATTTTTGCTTTGCTGCTGCAAAGCATAGTATTAAACTACTTTATAGAACAGAGTCTACTAATAATAAGGTTTTTTTAATAGGTTAAGATAGTGCAGTTATGCAACATAACTATTAAACTAGTATTGCAACGTATTAAGGATATATACATATCTTATATAATAGATAGTGCTCTGCCTCTACCTTTATAATTAGAAGAGGCAACTAAGAATAAGTTAGCGATTAGAGACTCTGCAGAATTTCTTTTACCTATTAGTAACAGTTAACGATTAGTTAAGAAAGTTAGAGATAGCAATAATATTAGCGTAACACAGTATAGCATAAATATATAGGTTATTAGAGATAGCGTTGTCATTTAATAATAGTTCGTATTAAGAGAGAGAGAGGTAGGCAGAGTTATTCTACTTTTCTTTAATATTACTATAATAAGACCTAGAATATCTCTAACAACCTCTTATAACGTATTAGTAGTAGCTGCACTCTGCTTATATGCAATTTTAGCTACTAAAAGATATTAAAATACTTAACTCTATTAAAGTATCGCTTAACTCTGTTAAAGTATTGCTTAACTCTATTAAAATATTACTTAACTCTGCTATAATATCGCTTAACTCTATTAAAATATCGCTTAACTCTGCTATAATATCGCTTAACTCTGCTATAATATTGCTTAACTCTGCTATAATATCGCTTAACTCTGCTATAATATCGCTTAACTCTACTATAATATCGCTTAACTCTGCTATAATATCGCTTAACTCTGCTATAATATTGCTTAACTCTGTTAAAATATCGCTTAACTCTATTAAAATATTGCTTAACTCTGCTATAATATTGCTTAACTCTGCTATAATATCGCTTAACTCTTAAGTATGCATAGGCTAGCTTAGCACTGTTATTAACTTAATATTAGAAATCCTAATATATATAGCAGTTCTTAGGTTTTTCAGCTATCTCTACTATCTCTAGCTTATCTCTAGATTTTCCCTAGATTCTGCCTAGCTTACTCTAACTTTGCTGCTGCACTGCTACTGCTAAGGATTTCAGCTACAAAGAACACTAATATTCTCTCACAAACTTCAACGCCCTGTAACTTTACAACGAGAAGAGCTATAAAAAAGATAGTTGCAGATCTGAAATCGCCTCGCAATTCTGCACAATATAGCCTACTAGAATATATCTGCAAAGTACTAGAACGTTGAGAGAAACTGCGATAAATGTCAGAGTTTTGATGTTCCTTCACCTATAACTTCAAAGCCTTGCATCTTAACGAGTATTAGAGCTATAAATAAACTGTTTAGAGATCTAGATTCCCCTTATAAAACAGCACAAAATGGCTTCTTAGAAATATATTATTTCCCCCTAGAAGGTTATTCATTTCCACGTTGCATTCCCACAACATAGCGCCTTGCTAAGGCCTATTCTAATTAGCTAAGCTCTACATTCCTACTAGAAATGCAGGTAGACTCAAGGATAGACTTATTTATTTAAGAGATAGTATAGCTGTTATATAATAGTACGCAATAATTAAAAACTATTAATCTTAGCAAATATAAAGAATATAATAAACGCCTTTACTAATATAGTAGACTTATACTACTAGATAATAATAAGCTTAAGATTAAGATTCTCTATACTGCGCATAACGCTCTATTAGATAGCTATTCTAGCTATAGAAAAATATTAGAACTTATATAGTAAGAGTACTACTAGCTGCGTATATTTAATATAATACGTTAATATATTTTATACTATTATACTTATTACTATGCAAAGGCTTCTTATAAGAAGTATTATAGCTTTCTAAAGCCTCTGCTTATACTAGAATATAGATAGTAAGATATCTCTATTAACTTTATTATTAACTTACCTAAATCTAAAGAATATACTAATATTATAGTAGTAATTAACTAACTAAGTAAGTTTTAGTATATAATCTCTTATTTATTCTAGATATGAAACGCAAACTAGGGGTATTATTAAAAAACAAGCTAGACTAAAAGAGGATAGTAATTGCCCTCTACTATTAGCATAAAAAAGCGTTAAAAAAGTATAAAATACGTAATCTAGTGTCAGTTAATAGTCCTAAGCAAGGCTAGTGCAGGCACTACTAACTAACACTCAAACTCCTTAAAAATTGCCTTAGGCACAACAACGACTACCCTGCTCTAAGCCGGGCTTAAGGGGCATAATTTTTATAGTACGCTTAACTATAGAAAAGCAGTGCGCGCAGTCACGCGCAGGTTAAGAACAGATTTTGCATTAGTATCTAAGTGCTGCAGTCTTCTATCTCTTTATATCTTTGCATTGCTATCACTATCGCTATCGTTGTAACTGTCGTTAAACATTCTATAATCTAACGAATATTAAAGTATATCCTCTCCTTAGCGACCTGCTGCTCTTCCTAACACTTAACCTTACTAGATTGCGTTATGTCGCCTTTAACACTATTAAAGCCTAACAGCTAATACGTCGTTAAGATTGCGCGTTTAAGCTTATCTAGATACGTCAGCTTACTAGCTATATTTAAAGGCAGCTAGTAGATAGACAGCTATGCTGCTACGTTATTAATATTGCAGAATTAGTTCTGCGAGTTAGTTATTAGCTTCCTCGCTACTAACTACCTCCTTGCATAATACAACGTTAGTTATATTATACTGTAAGGCAGCAGTAGCGTCGTATACCTCTATATCGTAGATGCAATTAAGGTATACTAGCTAAGATACGCGCTGCTAAGTTACTCTATCCCTAGGAACGATCCTCATGTAGATGAGGGGGCGATAAGCAAGCAGGCAGCTATGCTTGCAGACTAGGTAGCAGAGTATTACGCAGTGACAGATCCTTATAGCTATAAGAAGAATTTTCTTAAGGAGCTTTAGGAGCTAGCAAGCGTTAAATAAATAGCAATAATCCTAAGAGCAACGCATTCGATGTAGCTGTTTGCAGAGCACCTGCTGCTATAAGTGCTAAGCAAGGCAGCTTATCAGCAGCGAGCTCATCTATCAGATTGCAGGGTTCTAGGGTATTAGTATTTAATGTTTAATGCTAGGACTTACATATAGAAAAGTTGCTTAATAAGAGCAGAGAGGGCCGTTGCTGTATTACATTAGTGAGATTAACTAGAGTACAAAATATAGTTACAAAATATAGTTTACAAAATTAGTGGCCGAAGCCAACTATATAATCTCTTATAAGAATATAGAAGCTGCTAACGTAGCTAATATATTCTTATAATATATTTAGTATAACTATAGTCTCTCTAATACTATTATCTCTAATAGAGATAGATAGTTTATCTCTACCTTCTATAATAAGCTATATAAATAGCTTAGTATTAACTCTTACTTCTCTATAAGTTTTTACTCTAAGACTAATAGATAAACTAAGAATACAAATTCTATAATAGAATAAATTCTCTGCGCTTATATAAACTACTAGCAGAATAACTAGGTACGCTAGCTTCTAATTATATAGTTTAAAGCTAATAATATAGTCTTAGAATCTACTAGAGTATCTCTAATAATAGCCTACTTTAGCTAGAATTTATATATAGGCTTTAAGCCTTCTACAAATATAAAAAGACTTCTATTCTAAGCTTTATAAGCTAGAAAAGCTAACTAACTAATTAATAAGCTCTAAGAAGTTACTAAATATATTTAGAAAGAAATAATTTAAGTATAGGCTCTCTAAAAGAAATATATAAACTATAAGCGCTTACTAGCACTAGTATATAATATAAGTAATAAAGTCTAGCTTAATGCGCATAATATATAAATATAATAAGCTTTAAAGAAACTTAACTAGAAGAATCTTAGATCTTATAAGATTACTAAGAAAGTTTCTTTCTACGCATATAGGCTAGAACTACCTCTATCTATAAAGATATATTCTATTTTCTATATATTGCTTCTCTGCTTAGTAGTAGAAGAATTAAAATATCTGCTTAGCTAACTTATCTCTGCCTCTGCTTCTATTATTATAGATAGTAAGAAAGAATATATTATTAGAAGTATTAAGAAACTCTGCTATAATAAGAAAAGCAAAATAATATAAATACCTTATTATCTAGTAAGGCTATAATAAGACTATATAGAAACTAGCTGCAGACTTAAAAGATATTATAGCTATTGCTAAATTTTATATAAAGTTTCTAGATATACTAGAACTCTCTAAGATTATAGTATAAACTATAATAAATATAAGTATAATAATGCTTATAGAAGCTTAAGTATAGAAAGAGAGTACTATTATAGTAATATACTCTAATACTCTAAACTACTATACTTAATAGTACTATACTATATAGGTAGCTACTATATTCTATAGCACTCTATAATTCTACTCTGCAAAAGGCTCTAATTACTAGTAACTACTAAACTGCTAATACGCCTCTTAACTATCTCTGCGTAGGCTTAGCATCTATACTTAAGCTTTCTTCTATTTATATTCTTTTCTACCTCTATACCTTACTCTATTCTGCATATAATATCTTATATTATACCTAAGACCTATACGTAGTATACTAATTAAGCTTCCTTATAAGCTCTAATATTTCTGCTTATTGCCTCTTATAACACTCTTATAGAATAAAGTCTATTCTAACTCTTATTCTATACTCTATTAAGAATAGGCTTAAGAACAGATCTATAGAGAGTATAGAGTAATTTTATATTTTATACGTAGTATTCGTAATACTAAGAAAAAGTAGCTAGCTTAGTAGTCTAGCTAGTTTAGTAGTAGAATACGTTATTTAACTTTATTCTTATAATTATATATTTTATATAGTAGAGAGACTTTACTACTATAAGATAGACTTACTTTTAAGATATCTACTTTGCGCTTATATAACTTCAATCAATATTATTCTATCTACCTTCCTACTCTAGCTTAGGTTTTTCAAATAGCTGGCTTCTTCGCATAAACAAACAAGTGTGGCTCCTCTGATACTTCTTCAGAGTTGCAGATGCCCGCCTCAACGCCCTTTGGCGTAAACTTGGTGATCGCCTCGCGCTCAACATGAAAACCGACTTCCTTGATCCATTCGACGGCTTCCTCGGGCCCCAGGCTGGAAACCTGTATCAGCCGACCCAAGAACTTGATCTGGAGGTTCTCGGCGGAAACGGGCACAGTTGCAAACACAAAAAAGCCGCCGGGCCGAATAAGCCTGTAGATGCCAGCGATGAACTGTTTAATCTCCTCCTGCGTCATACTAGCGATCATGCTGAAGTACACGGTGACGGCATCGAAGGATCCTTGGGCGGCGCTGGCGATGAAGTCGCGCATGTTGACCTGCTCGAACCGGGCGGTGGGGACACGCTCACGCGCCGCCTCAACCATGGCGGCCGAGACGTCGATGCCCAGCACGTCGTGACCTGCGGCGGCGAGTGCCCCGCACACAGGCTTCCCGGTCCCGCAACCGATATCGACGAGGCGCGCGCCATTAATGTTTGCGGCCTCGAGCTGGGAGAGCAACCACTTGATTGAAACCAACTGTTCGGGGTCGCCTTCGAAGGCCGTCTCGTAGGCCGGGCCAATAGAATCGAAGGCCTGCTCGGCAGACAGTGGCTTCTCATCGGATACTGCCTTAATACTATCCATATTTCGGGGCTGGCAAGGCAATGGAATTGGAGGTTTAGTGGTTGTCGGATGTGAACTGGAACTCAATTCCATTAAATACCATGCCTGTCGGCAAGAGGAACACCTCGGTAAGGTGAACACCTCGGTGAAATTGTGGTCGAATTGTTTCGAGCCACCGATGCGGAGGTGTCATACGACTTCATGCTTGGGATAGATGCTTTGTGCAGGGTAAGCCTTTAGGGTGGGACCATTGGTAAAACTTTGATTAGCGGAATAGGCAGACAACAACCCCTAAACAAAGCATTTAAAGAAGGACATAACCCTTAGGACTGTTGAATAACAGAAGGAAATTCGTGACTATCTCTCTCTAAGATTCTAAGTATAAGGTTACAAAATATCTTCTCAGGGATCTGCTGATAGACTGCTTAGCATAAGCTTATTAAAAAGCATTGTATTTAGTAGTATTAAATTTGGAGGCAAGAGTCGACCGTGACCCTAGCCTACGTGCTAAACAAATAGTTCTGACATCCCAGACTAACATTTCCTGTGTTCCTTAGAGCGCAGAACCTGCGCGCGCAATAAACCTCTTCGCAGACCAGCATATGCGCATGTTCCTGCTCGTGCTTTTCGTGCTCCTTCTTGGTCAAAGACATGCCATCGCTGCACGTTGCGCACTCGTACCTTAATACCGATGCGCATGCTTTCTGGAGATCGCCAGGTTTCAGTTGTGATTCTGGATTTCTCCAGCGAATGAGCGTGGTCGGTGGTACCATATAGTCATCATCGGCAGGTGATACAGATGTGGAAGCATTGTGGGATGTCGTGGCGGGCGGCGCCGCCGAATTGATCAAGCTATCTGGGTTGAACTTCCATGCCGGCCGGGAAGGTGATGTAGTAGTGGTATCTTGCCTGTCAAAGGCGAAAGCAGGTGGTGGCTGCGAATTTGCGCTCACTTCTTCGATCACCTCACCAGGATGTCCTATTTCTGTGGTACGAAGCAGCATGCCCGATATTGGTTGTGGGTCGAGCAATGCGATGACAAGCTCTTGGTCAAATCGGTATTCTGGCAGATCGATACCACGCCGCATGCCGACAATCCAGACGATCTCATCCTTATCCTTTGCGGTCAACAGCCTCGCCTTTGCTGTTCGCGTCATCGTGTCGAGGAAGTTCTTGCTAACAACAGTGAAGTATGCCCGCTGGAATGTGGCTCGGATGTCTTCCGGTACCATGTCCAATAGCTTAAGCCTGAAGTCGCCGGTGTTGCGAGTGGATGACATGACCTGCTCGTAAGTCTGCGTGCTATTGATGGGAAAGTGCTTCGCGCTCCATGTGTGTGGAACGCCATGAGCGATACGCCTGTATCTTCCGCGCATACTACTCACCATTGCCTGCATAACGTCCGAGAGGAGTGGTTCCTCAATTGTACGGGCCGCAAGCACAAAAGGTTGGATGCCTTCGCGATCTTCGTGTTCGGGGTCAGCTCCCGCGTCCAGTAGCATCCGTAATAACGCGACTAGATCAACAGCAGGACATTGTTCTATACATCGTCGCAATGGTGTGAGACCGTTGTTATCCGCGTGGTTTGGATCAGCGCCTTTTTGGAGCAGAACCTGAAGATCGCGCAATGTATCTGCTGGATGTCGTTTAGACTCGGGGCAAAATTCAAGGATCTCATGGAGAAGGCCGGAGATATTCATAGCGCCGGTGCCTGCTGTCGCGCTGTCAATAACAAGACGAGCGACCTTTGGCGTCGAATGCCAGATAACCTGATGCTGGAACGTTTGGCGCGACGATCCACAAGGACACCCTGCGAAACGTGATTGCAAATTTGCGCCTCCCGCGACGAATATCCGGAGGCAATCCAATTCGATAACGGTGAGCTTCGATGCCCAGTAGTCAAGTGTCTGCCAGGGCTGCGTGAAGGTTTCAAACGGTGTTGCCGAAGAGCCAATTGGTGGTGCCGCATGGATGTTCGCACCCGCTTCCAACAGATGTCGAGCGATATTGTTGCATTTTTCTCTTACTGTATCCAGGATGTATTCAGTAGCGCGTCTCTCCAAACATAATTGTAGTGCGGTCTGATAGCCTGAGCCTCGGGGAGAAAGGCCGGCGTCTTCCAGGCTCACGCCTCTGCGAATGAGAATTCGTACAACGTCCGGATGGTTCCAAAATACGGCTTGCAGCAGAGGTTTCCATGATGTGCCCGGTAACCCGTTAATGTCTGATCGGCCGGGGCGAGCCATCACCATCACGTTCACAGTGCGGCCGTTCTTGATTGCGTTGTGCAGCGCGAGGTCAGTTCCCAATGGATGGCGAGAACCCTTTGCGCCATGGCTTATCAAGACCCAAAGACACGGGCCACATGGCATACCGCACGTCACATCGAGCAGCGTCTGGCTGGGATGTTGCATAATGACCATTTGGTTCATGATCGAGTGGCTGGCGAAACGGCCGCCTGCTTCAAACGGTAAACCGATGGGGTCGTTGATGTGCTCGTTGTGATGCACCACGAGGCCTTGCAGCTTATCTGGGTCACACTCTAGTACAGCGCCGAGCATATCAAGGACGATGTCACCAGGTCTTGTTTGGGTCTCCGACCAAGCATCGTCCATTGAACTGTTTCAGGATACACTTTCAGCCACGTTTCCCATCACAATGGGGTTAGGGGGGGACACTTACACTGGCGCCTGATGGAGAAGGCCCATCAACGTAGGTTCTGCATTTGTAGGATCTTCGATAACCTGCCAACCGCCGCGGTCTGTACAATGGTCGGGCAAAGCAGGATCCGCTGGTGTTGCTTCACCTTCTGGGGTTGAGTCAGTGTCAACGTCAAGCGACATAGTTACCGGCATGGCGCTTGGCTCGACTGTCGCACTTAGACTCCTGTCATCGCGGTGCTCCGCATCATCAGGTTGCGCAGAATCGTTTCCATCATCCAGGCGCTTTACAGTCTCTCTCCGACCTTTTTGTTTAAGAAGACCCCATTCTTTGAGCTTCATCCGATACGCGCGGGTCGACGCTCTGAACTTTTTGCGCGCCATCAACTTCTCGATCTCTCCAAGCGTGATCTTTCCGTCAGATTTGGAGTACAATTCCCTAATTTCCGCCTCCACGGAATCCCAGTCCTTCGTCATTGTGTAAATTCGGGAAGCTTGATAAGCGGATCGGAAGCGACACCTAGCGATCAGTTAACCTTCAGCACGTTACATCAACGAGCGATGTGGATGTTGAATGTGCAATTCTTGGGGCGTTCGAGCGTATGGATTGCGTAGGCGTCCTTTGGTATTGGGTACCTGTCGCAGGGAGAGGCTGGCGCTGTACTATCACCGTGGTTTGAAGAGGCAATTCGCAAGTGGAAATTTACACGACATGCTGCTGTATTATCAAGAGGTCGGTGTGCAATAAGCATAATTGCACAGCAATGGTCAGCGAAGGAGGAGCGTTGCAGCAGCTAGCGCTTGCTGGCGGATTCCGCTCAATCTGACTGGCCATCCAACACGGGAGGCCTAATCGTGGCGCAGCTCCACGGGATTATCGACATTGCAGATTGCACGATTTGCACGAATGCGATAGCCACACTTTTCCCACGGCATCTTTTGAAGGCACATCTGAGGTTTGTTGGGCTGTGTGAGATGATCTTTTTGTACGATGGAAGTCAGAGACTAGAAGTCGATTGTATCGTGTTGGACATAGTATTGAAAGCCAATGACAGTGGTTGCGCAGCTTGATGTATCCTCTTTAAGCAGACTGAATACCGGGTTGCTACAAAATGGTTCACTGGCGACAATTCTTCTGGTCTCTTGCCTGCGAAAGAAGATCAGTGTGCTGCCGCCCATAAGAACCATACATATTGATATCAACGCTCTATGTTGTGCCCAAATTCTATGTAACGTGGAAAGCAAAAGAAGCTCCTAAGCTTCTTGTTCGTCTCCAGTCGGTCGCACTGCCTTGTCGTTGTCGATGTACACTATATTGCAATTAGCGATGCATCAACACGAGAAGGGGATGTTGAATGTACCATGCGGCCTCACGAACCAACTACACACAAACGCCAACCCAAAAGTCGCACACAACGTCACGAATACCGTCTGCCTGAAGCTTCCAACGGTAGCACTGTAGATTCCGTTAAAGATAGTTGGCCCGATGACTCGCGCAACAGCATGCAAAAGTCCAGTTGCGCCGAGAAGCTGCCCAACTTTGTCCGGGGGAACGTGCTTGGTGAGCGCGGCACCGAGCGTTGGGTTGCCGATACCACCCATGGCTGCAAGCGCGCCAGACAGTGCGAAAATTTCACCTTTGCGCGCGAGAATAAAACCCAAATAGCCCATCATGTCAAAGAAGATGGCAGCGCGAATGATGCTGAGATCGAAGAGATCCGAGCCAGAGCTGCGCGTGCGCTTGTGTCCGTCTTTGCCACGGAAGATGCGCGTCAAGACAGGCAGAACGACTAAGAGAGCGACAACACGCGAGGTGTTGACAATGGTGGCGAAGCGTCCGGTTTCAAGTTCGTGCCAGCCGAATTGGCGACGCGTGTAGACGAGTAGTACACCCGTGGCACCCATGGCAACGCCAAACATGATGGCGTCTGTAGCTGCGAGAAGAGCCAAGTTCCAGCGCACGGCAGATGACGAACCAGGACCAGTAGGCCAGAGAATTTCGAGCGGCTTGAATAGGTTGAGATGCCGCAGTTGGTTGATCCAGTCCGATGCTGGGCCCAGCTTCTCCATGTCTTCTTTGTGTCGCTCACGCGCTTCTTCCTGTCGAGCTTGGGTCAGGGACTCGGGAATAAGAAACATCAGAGAAGCTATAAACACCAAATGCGCAGCCAGCGCAATGTAGAAGACCAAAAGCACAGCCTCGGTATGGCCGACGTACTTTTCGCGAGCTGAGATGACATATCCAGAGAGAGCAGGACCGATGGCAATGCCACCAAAAAGGCAAGCGTGGAAATAGGAAAAAGCTACGGTGCGCTTTTGAGGTGACGTGCAGTCCGAGGCGTAGGAATGCGCGATAGCCATGCCGACAATAAACGACCCAGTGACGCCCTCTATGCAGTAACCGACTAGGATCCAGTTTACATGAAAGATATCGGGATACTTGGCCGCCAATATAGTGAGTACCTCAGCGAAGAGCGTACCGATTGTATTGAAGATCAAGAACTTCTTACGTCCATGGCGATCGGATAGCGCACCAAGTTTCGGGCTAGTGATGGCGGAGAGAATGCCAGAGCAGAGACTGCCGTATAAGAGGAAAAGGGAGGAGCGCGAGGAGACAGTATCGTTTTGGCAGCGATCGTGTTGCTGCCCTGGATCCATGGGACTCGAGATGGGATCGCTTCCGCCCGTGGCATAGTATTCAGTGCATACGAGATCCATGATCAGGTTGATCTTGGGGATAATGATGCCACCGAACGCCATGGTGAACAGGAAGAATGGTGGGAGGAGCCAGTATATCTATCATTGTCAATTGTGATGTATAGAAAGATTGTATCGCTGTGCTTACCGAAGGCCGATTCCACCAGGAAAGTCCTTTAAAGTCCGCTTCTCCCGGCCATTCATACTCACTGCCCTCACTGTCACTGCCGTCTGCGATCCCATGAGCGCGTTCCGTGGGTCTCAGCAGCGGCGCATCTTCGCCTTCACCGTCGCTTGCCTGGGACCTCGCCCCTGACGCGCCCGCCTGCTGCGGTGTATATATGGGCGCTTTCGGCTGCGACTTGGAGGACTGGTGACGCGCGCGCATCTCCTGGTCTATATCGAGGGCTTCCACATAGTCTACATCCCCGTTGTGGGCCATGGTGGCGTTGACGCGCTCCTCGTCGCGTGTTAGTTGCCGGTGGCGAGTCTTGCAGTGTTTAGAGGGGATGGGCGTTTCAACGCGAGCTTCGCATGTCGACTTCTTCGTCTACTACACGTCGTGAGTTAGCGGCTATCTATGTCGTAAGTCGACATCTAGCAACAATGCGCGACAATCATATCAATAAGTGTAATCTGTAATCGCGCGTGTGCTCGGCGCCGGCGTTTGGCTTGCTTACCAACAACGGGGTGCGACGACGACGTCGTCCTGTATTCCTGTCTAGAAGAAGAAGAGGAAAGGGAAACAGAGATTGTAATCAAGGCCTCGCGCGCGACATTCCGTCTGTTGTAGACGCCCCACTAGACGCCAAAACGCTCTCCAGAACCCTGGTGGTGACAAACTTGCGCCATTGTGTCATGACGTGGATATGCGCCGCACATCATATCAGATCGGCTATCGGTGGCTTTGTCGCCCCGATGCGCTAGCCGACCTTCACGCTCACTTCACTTTCCTCTCACAACCGTTGGCCCTTTGTTTCTAGTAATGCATCATGGAGATGAAGTAATACAAATGTCCCAATCTACATGATTCCACTTCCATCAGCTCTGCGACGGCGCATCTACCTTATAAGTGTGACATGCCCGACTGGCTATGGTACGCCCCATGCGCCTGCATGTGGTGAGATCATGAAAAGCAAAGAAGGCGTCGATGCTCCGCGATAGGTCAAAAAGCCTGTATGCTCAATCTCTATGACCGTGCACCGATGCTCAGAATGACAGCGTAGGTATACGTTCGCAAAAGCTATCCTTTGTGACCTAGGCACGTTATCCATGAGCAGTACCTGGCGAAAAAACAATTGCGTGTTCATTCACTACCGACAATCCAGGGCTATCAGCATGCGCTCATTAAGATGCTGCCTGCGAGTCCGGAATCAGCGCTTCTTTCATCGTGGGATCTTTTCATGTGTTTCAAGCGACTGCGGTACTTGGAGGGACCTCCTCCTACCAAAACTTCTACAAGCAACGAAGCACGCGCCAACCAAGAATTTATGTCAAGGTCTACGCATGGATATCGCCTTTCGAGATGATCACGTTTTTCTCTCTTACATCGAGGCTTCCTGCCGAGTAAGGGTTATTTCCACTTGTGGCACTGCCTCGTTCCTGCACGATCAATCCAACGTTCTTATCGCGAGCCGGATGGGAAGGTGACGCGCAGGCCTTGAAAGGTAGGAAGCAGTCTCAGGCGCGCGTTACGTTTGACAAACAACCAGATTCCCTCTTGACTGCTAACTTGAGCAAAGCCCAGACTCTGTCATGATGGGGTGCGGCTTCGACGGAAACCTTGCCGCTTTCGAAAGCCCGCTGACTGAAGACTTGGCCTTTCATCAACTCGCTCTGATACTGTCGGCAACGTTCATGTGTCTTTCCGTCAGTATCTCTTGCTGGCTAATTTTAGACCATGCGCTCCATTACCTCAAGCCGTATGAGCAGAAACAGTATGTTCACGAAGCCATTCCACTCGCCAACTTCTAACTCAACAGCATCATCCGCATCCTTGCAGTGGTTCCTACGTACAGTATTCTCTCGTTTCTCTCCCTCTTGTTTTATGACAAAGCCGTATACCTTGAGCTCTTACGCAGCTGCTACGACGCATTCGCCATCGCCAGTTACTTCACGCTTATGTGCCATTACATTGCACCGTCGCTCCACGAACAGAAAGAGTACTTTCGTAACGTGCGACCAAAACCGTGGATCTTTCCGTTACGCAACGTGGCTATCCCTAGGAGTGGCTTGACGTGGTTCAACATCCTCTACATTGGCATTTTCCAGTTCTGCGTCACGCGTCCACTCTTCGCTGTAATCGCATTCGCCACGCAACAGACGAACCTCTACTGCGCGTATTCCTCTGAACCTGACAAAGCGCACACGTGGATCTCGTTGCTCCAAGGAGCATTTGTGCTAGTCGCAATGTACTGCCTGTCACAGTTCCACAAGCAGTTGAACGAAGACCTCGAGGCACACAAGCCCGCCCTCAAGCTACACTGCGTCAAGCTCGTCACCTTCCTCTGTTTCTGGCAAAATTGGCTTTTCGGAATTCTCGCTGGCCAAGGTGTGCTGCGTGCCACTCCAAGTATCGCAGATGTGGATATTCTTGTTGGCTTCCCGTGTATGCTCATCTGTTTCGAGATGACCATCTTTGCAGGTCTCTACCATTGGGCGTTTCCTTACACGCCGTACGACATTGACCATCAACTTCGCGGTTCTGAGCGTCCTACTAATTATACAAGCGCCCCGCACAAAGCTATAGTCGATGCGATGAACCCATGGGACTACGTCAAAGCGGCGGCTCGCGGCCTCAGGTGGTTGTTCCATGGTGTTCGACATCGACGAGTTGATGCATCATATCAAGACAAGGAGGAAGAAGATTCGGAGAAGGAGAGTGAATTGGAATATGATACGCCACAGGTCGTTCCGGGATGGAAGGTTGTCTGCACCGATCCCGATGAACTCCTGCATTCCACAGATCGCGGTCCGCTACGTGGTGTTTGAGTCAACGAGAGGCACACAGTTGGATGAGTTAATCAATTTTGAGCCGCCAAAGGTCGAGGGTCCTCCGAAATAACTTGCTAGGGTCTTGCTAAACGTAGTTGACAGTCGCACGTGTTTCTTGTGTTACGAGGGGGCTTAGTTGGCTTCCGTAAAGGGTCGCGACCACTGCAGTTCCCCTCCCAACTCGAAAACATTTAAGCGAAACGCCACGTCTTTTTCGGATTGTTTGGCACCGTACCTTAGGTCTGGATCGCCATGCCCAACAGTCGGGAGGATCTTACCGATCGACGTCTGTGCAATTAGCTTTCTGGCGTCGTCCGTGCCGCGATGGCGCAGGCATTAGCTCGGAGGATAATCGACGCCTTCACCTTAGCTCTTTATGCTGCTGGATACCTGAGCCGTGTTTACTAAACTTTGCACTCAACATGTTGCAGACCCGTTGATGAAACTATTGCTGTAACAGATGTTAGCATCGCACAAGTTCATGTGGATAGCTTTAGGCCCAGCAAGGACAGATCGTAGTAGAAAGTCATGACATTGGGCTGTAGAGGGCAGAGACTCGTCGCGCGACACTCACATGTCGGAAATGTCTTCCACCTCTATCGCCGATCAGCTGTTTGTTAAGACGCTTTCACATGGCTGGATCTCACCAAGCCCCTAAGATCAAAGTTCCCCGGATCGCCACCCGCAAACCAGTGACTCTCGGGCTGCATCCGAATGCCAAGCTCATCCCAGCGACACCTTTTTCACGCCCGAAGCTGTGCCGCTCTAGCTCTGGATTTGTACTCGCTGAACCTTGACAGCCCGAATGAGTCGCGCAGTCCTCGGAGCAGGGGTTCTGGACTACCTGTATACTAGAAGTCCATGGATATGTACCTGGATCGTACGACTTTTCATCGCTTGTTTCGCTTCACCCTTGTTCACCTCTCTTTCCATTTTGGAAGTTGTGCTTGCAGTTTGGCTTCAGTTCGCATAATACGAAGCGACTCATCGAAGCGATACATGTTGGACTACGTGCCTGCGATTGTGCCCCGCGTGGGGGACATTATCAGCA